ATAACAATAATATATATATATATATATATATATATATATATATATATATTGTAATCTGATATCAAGTCTGACGTTACAACAACACATAAATATAGATGGCACTGTAAAATATAGATATATTTTCGAGTTTTTAATAAATTAATTTAATAATATGATGGGCCGAATATGGATTTCACCGAATACGAATGTTCGATAAAATTTTTACCGAACCGAATATTCGACCGAACATTATTCGGCAGGGTCACCTCAACCAATTTATGTCAAAACTTGTTACCGAAAAAAGCAGACCTGCCCCTCGCTCCCCCGCCACACCTGACATGTTATTGCATCATATTCATATAGTACTGAGCAAATTGCCGACACATGCTTATGTTTTGACTATTCTTGTGATAAAAAAAATTATTTCGTTGTGTTATTCTTAGTGAAAATTGATAATTATATTACAAAAATGAGCGGCAGGAGATTTACTATTTGGATTTATTTTAGAGAAACTGACGACCAAAGTAAAGTGAAATTTACTAATGTAATGTTTCTTTGTTTGATTTCAAAAACATTTTATCAAGTTTCTATTTGCCATAATCGTAAATAAATCTACAGTTCCTCAAAAACATAAATTTATAGAGTAAGTAGATTTAACCCATAAATAAAATATACTTTCAACAGCAAAAGACATCGCATTACTCAATTCGTACATTGCAATATATTGGACACTTTGAAAACGAATGTTCGGTAATTTAGCCGAATATCCGGCCGGATACGAATATTCGGTAAAGCTGCCGAATATGCCGAATACCGAATATAAATCTAATATTCGGCCCATCTCTAATAGTAATGAGGGAAATTCATTTCTTATCAAAGAAGTATCAAAAATAAGAAAATAAAAACGAAAGTAATTATTTTTTATTTATCTAAATATAAACACGTTCCGTGGCGAGATTCTAACGCAGGCAATCACGGAGCAGTTGAGCGTTATTCAAGTCCTAGCTACAGTTGCTACGCTAACGGTATCAACTATCAGTTGGTTAATGAGTCATTTATCCAAATAACCCAAATAGCTAAATAGCTGGTAATTCCACCACAAATAACTGGCTAGCTAGGTTATTACAAATTTGGCTAGTTACCCATCGCTAACAGCAACCATTACCATCAGGTGGACAGTGTGCTCGTTTGTCACCCTTATCATATAAAAAAAACGAACTTCCCCAGCATAAAAGTTACACTAAGTAGACAGAGTTAAACCGGCACTGATTGACTGGATAGTAAACGTGCTCAGTTCATGAACAATAAAGATTGCTGGTGCATCTCAAGCAGTCTAGATAAGGAGGGGCTGCCCGCAGAGTGGGCTTCTTTCACCTCTCCAGCGGAATACGGTCATAAATGAACTAATCAGCAAATGAAATGCCAACCACTCTATAAAATTGGTTATGCACATGACCTGACAATACTAGTCTCGGGAAAAACAGCAGACATGGTGTGCGACCTGACCCAAGCGGATCTCTGTATAGTGGAGAGTTGGTGCATGGAATATGACCTAACCGTTAATCTAAATAAAACAGTCCTCGTAATGTTCACACAAAAACGAATGCTGAATAACTTCTTTACTTAAAAGTCTTTTCAGCACAAAAGTTCAGCTATCCTCTGAGGTAAAATACTTAGGTCTTAACTTGGATGGTAAACTCAACTGGAATAAACATATAGAAAACAAAATCAACAAAGTTAATATAACTTTCTGGCGGTACAGAAACATTATTGGCAAATGATGGGATCTGACGGCGGCGCTCTAGTATGATGGACCAAAACAAATGAAGCAACCACTTGCACGCTGTTGCACATATGGGCCGGTTTGAGCCGGGGTGGTACCATGACCTCACAGAATACCGGCATTAAGTAGTTTACCACAGAGGATAGCAGTGTGGTGACACTCACGCTCCCATCGCGGTTGCATTCTGCAGGTTGCCGCCGTGTTTGGCACTATAGGTCGGCCGATTGTAATAGGATGCGATCTTTCTTTGCATCCTAGCCTTGGGGGCGGGTTTGTTTCTCGCCGGAGAATCCCAACATTGTTGCTAATTCCATCGCTGATGTGATACTTCAGGGTATGGAACTTTTTATTCCTTCCTCTGTGGTGCTCATCGGAGGCAGATCTCAGCCATGGTTTAGTTGCTCCTGTAAAACTGCATTCGATTCATTTTTAATCTTCGAAAGTATGATCATGTGTCTACTTTTCGCTCTCAACTCAACTGGTTACCCATTCGTCAGCGCCGTAGTCTACGTGCACTCAGACTAGAGAACAATTTTATGTTGGCTTTAACTCATTTTCAAACACCCAAACTCGTGACTGGTTTTTTGTTTCGGGTTCGTACGTGTATATCCAGGATTCGTCACCTGATACGATGTTGTATACAGCATTTGAGGATCCTGCGTGGAATCTTTCGAGAGTTCTGACGCACCAAGTAACGCGAGCCGCTTTTTGCTCTTCACAGAGCGAATGCGGTATCCATCGGGAAAACAACTTTTTTACACCTAATTGTTCATGCAAGATTATTTGTATTTGACTCATGCCAATGTCTAAAGTTGCCTAAATTTCGCGGTATGTCACATGTCGATCTTCCTCAATCAGCTTATGCACAGCACCAACGTTTTCTTGGGTGACTGCAGTTTTTGGACGATCTTGACGGGGATCGTCACTGAGCTTGACACGTCCATATTGAAATTCAGCAAATCAGCGATAAATTGTGCACATCATCGACATATCAAGTGACGTGCAGTTTCGTGGTCACTTGGAAGAGAAGGCCAAATTGGCCTCTAAAAAGGTTGGCAAGCTCAGCGGAGCAGGACAGTATTTCTTGCCGGCACTCCACCTGCAATTTTACAAGTCACAGGTTTGACCTCACATGGAATAATGTTTCCATCTCTAAGCTGGGGCTCCCCAGTGCCAGCTCCTTCCACTTGACTGTATCTAGCGCAGAGCGGCTCGAATTGTCAACAACTGAGTGCTTTCTGATTGGCTCGATTTTTCAGCTCGACCTTCAAGAAAAGTGCTTAATCTTTTCTAAATGGCCGGCAACGCAGCTGCAATTTCCCCAGTGTTACAGTTGTTCTTAGGCGGCGGTAGTCACTGCGGTAGTTACTCCTACCATTGTCCTTCTGTTACACTTTGAAAGATTGGACAGAGAAAAACTTTTCATTGAACATTCCATTTCTTAATAAAAGGAATCAATAGAACAGCAGTCTATAGAACCGGTAAGAACTTAATGTGTACTAATGGGGAATGCAAAGTCTATAAAGGGATATCTATGTTAATATCTTGTATTGTATACCTGATTACCAGAATGTATTGAGAGACAAAATGGCATATACCATTAGTAACTGATAATATGTCTCGTAATAGATTTTTTATTTTGCACAATTCCTTAAAATTTGTCTTTGACAAAGACATCTTGCAACAAAACCCGAGTTTAAGACGAACGAAGTTTGGAAGGTAAAGCCTCTCTTATCAAAAATCATTAACGCATGTGATGTTTTCTTATGCCTAACATTTAAAAGAAACTGTTTTAAGATGATTCATTCATGATTAAAAATATTGTTTAAAACTATGTATTTAATTCTTGATAATATTTTATCACATTCTTAACTAATTATTAAAATTACCTAAGTGTAGTATTAACAATAAGTTTTTGTTTCTAAATATGATTAGAAGTTATCAGTGTAGTTTCTGTTTCAATTGTGGCGGCGCTGTTGTCGCACCACAAGCAAAACAAATTGAAGCCATTAAAGTTGCGCTATAAAAGTTCCGAAGTAGAACAGTATATATCGAATAGCTCTGAACTATCATTAGGAGCGTTGTCCGCTCCTCGGACTGAACACCTTGCGCCGCGTGATATCTCCCTTTTCCTTCCACGGCCACAGTGGTAACCCCGAGGTGATATGAACACGCAACCAATTAAATTCCGAAACCACAACTTCAATCTTCATCATTATCTTCAAGAATCCTTACTTACTACCAATCACTACCAGATCTCCCCTTTTCCCTCCTATAACTACTTTCACACATTTATTTTATAAGTAACAAACAAGTATGGACATGGAAAACAATAAGACTAATTTGTGATTTTTTACTAAATAAATGTCAATTTTTTCTAAAAAATATGGTTTATCAGTAATAGCTCAATGTCCAAAAAAAGAATAAACAATTTAGGAATTTCGTTACATGTTCCTGGATCCTTAGGTTAGAAAATGTTTGTTCATTAAAAGAAATATTAACATTTTGATGTGTGGGTCCATAGGAAATACATTAGTTTTGCCTAATATTAGTACATTGGGTCTTACCACCAAGAGCCCTTATTTTGTCTGTGGCTAATGCGGAAACAAAAATTTATTCCTAAAAAAAATAAACAACGAATTTGTGTGAGTGAATTTATCATTATTGTGAATTCATTAATATTGAGCATACAAGTTTTAAACTGCAAAAAGAAAAACTAGTAGTTAATATCACTACCGCGATAAGGCCCACTTATCAATTCAACTGCTTCCTGATTATATTACAGTCGACTCTTGTTAATTCAAACCTCTCTATAATTCAAAGTTATCACAAGTTCCCTACAAAATCTCTTTATATTTCTCTCTCTCTCTCTTCTTTCAACGAAATCAATACATTATTATGCACTTAGTAATTTGAACGAAAAAATCATTGCAATGCAACAAAACGACGCATTAATTCGAACTCATAGGTGTCAAACACTCGACACTTCAAAGTTGTAGGGAGAAAGAAACAGAAACGTTGTAAGTACATTTTAAGACAATTAAAACTTATATTATCATGCACAAGCCTTTGTTTCTGTTATGATAACAATCACTAATTAAAACGACTAAGTAAGATAAGGTTAAAGAAACAAAAAATGAATATATACATAAAACAGTCTCCGTTAAAGTACATCCTGATCACTTTCGAGAATTCGAAAAAGTATCTAAGAGTCTTACATTCTTTAGATAATACTTACATCCAAAAGAAATATGCAGCTGCTCTGGCTGACAATACGCACAGTCATATCCTGGCCCTGCACGCACTTTTACAATTGCCGCCCGCGAATATATAGCACACAATAAAATTAATAGTGTTTTCATATTACCAATCAAGAAAATATTCTAATAAATATAAACAAGGCCTGGAGATTATGATCACAGGCGAACAATCATTTACTTATAATGATATATCAAGAGGTCAAGACACTTTAAGTAGCAATTATGAAAATGTTTTGAATCGAATCTGCATCACGGCGTTGACAGCTAGAACATTTTTTTAAAACTTAAGAGTTTGGAGGGCACTCTTAAATCAACACTTGGTGGCGCCACAGACTTCCTATTTTGACAAATGTCAGTTAAATGTTGACACTTGAAAGTAGCAATCTTTTTTTACAAATCGCTGTCGATTCGTAAGACTCGTACACGTTTCTGTATTTTTTTGGTTACTGCTCTACAAATTCACTAGCAACGTTGAGTTGAGCTTCAGTTCCTCCGTTATCTCGTCGAATCTTTGTGGTGCTGTTGATTCAGTGACTTATAAGAGACGGGACTCATTTTAGAGATAGAACTCATATTTTTTGGTGTTATTATCTACTAGTGCCGTAGGGTTAAATAATGCCTATTACCGTGTGTTGTGTCAACTCTTGTCTTGCCAAGGATATAGTAATGTTTTACTTTCCTCGAGACAAAAACATGCAAAGCCTTTGGCTTTCTTATGTCGCTCCTCATAGCCCTGAACTTCTTCAACTGTCATCGAAACAATTAGCCAAAAAGAAGATTTGTATCAGGCATTTCGAACATCAATATCTTGATGGCTTCACGAGGAAATACCACGGTTATCCTACTCTACTGACTGAAGAAGAAATAGCTTGTGGAGTACCCAGTAAGTACGAAAATATCTTTCCCATTTAGAGCCAAATTTAGAAATATATTTGATAAAGACTGAATTATACCCGAGGCAGTGGTTTAAATTATTTATCAATGCAATATTAACCATGAGAGTAGAGTTTGAAGAAAATATGATACTAAATATATTGCATGTTCTTATGCAAAATTTTTTTTTGGTTTTATAATCACTGTTTTAAAAGCTATCTTATATTACAAAATAGCTAAAGTGATATTTATTTCAGGTCAATCCATCACTGACTATTATGATCATACTTACTGTAAAAGAAGGCAAGGTATGGAAGAAGCAGCTCCTGAAATAATTAAAAAGCCAAAATATAGTAAAGAATACATGCTGGGTAAATATTTTTTTAATATTAGCTTGATATATATTATGTACACATCACACATATGTTTACCTTGAACAAATTGTCCGATTAAGTAAGTCCAACTTTAACCTAGACATCAATCAACGGATCCAACTCAGCTGGGCAGCGTGTGAAGATTATGACACATCTTGTCATATATACCTCAAAACTTGAAAACAAGATTATACAACCAGTGTATAATGCCATTGATAACATATGGATCTGAGATGTGGTCCTCTATGCAAAGGTCGTCTGGGAGAGATCACTTTCAGAGTGACAAGAACGCTTGTTGTTCATATTATACTTTAGATTGAACTCTACTCATTTTCCTGTATTTTGGTATACAATTAAAAATAAAAATAAAGTTATAAAGTAATTATTTTAATTGCAGTTAATTTAGATAATTCACAAAATAGTAAAAGAGAAAATACTGGAGAGACTTCTGTGTCAGATGACATCACCATGTTGTCAAAGCCATCAACTTCTCAGCAAAGTTATTACATCTCCATGTCGCCAAAACCATCAACTTCTCAGCAAAGTTATGATGTCCCCATTTCACCAAAGCCATCGACAATTCAACACAGTAAGTTTATTTTAAATTAATGTAATGTTAAATGTTTATACATAATTTCATACTTTATTTTCCACTATGATCACAAAATACCTGAGCATCATAGTGATCTTTCTTTATACCAGATTGTAAAATAAGAGTCATATTAATTGTAATTTAACATGTAGTTTCCTAGTGTTAATGTTTTTACATACATGTGTACTTTTTTATAGTCAAAAGTTAGAACAATGCCAACAGTTAAATAAAAATATTTATTTTATATGAACCATTTGTAATACTGATTACAATATCACTCATACATATTTTTTTCCAGGTGATAAAAACAAATGTATTAAGCTTGTAAAAAGTAGACCTCGACTTGTAACCAATATTAACAACTTAACTCCAAGATGTCGAAGGTTGTACTTTAAGTGTAAAGATATGATTAAAAGAAAGAGATTGTTTACAAGTAATGAAGATAACAAACAAAACATTGCTCATGCAGAAATTCTTAGCAATACCAAAAGTTTTAGAAAATTAATAGAAAAGTTAGATTTCTTCCCAAAACAGTTTATAGCATTGCAGCTGAGGTTTGCTGGTAAAGCTTCAAAAGGAAGAAGGTATAATATTGATGAAAAATTAATGAGCATTGCGCTGTATAAACAGAGCCCTAAGGGGTATTCCCTTCTACAAAAATTATTCTCTTTACCAACCAAAAGAACTCTGAATAGAGTTTTACAAAATATTAAATTTGGAGAAGGTATAAATGAAAACTTTTTTGCAATTTTAAAACAAAAAATCAAAACATTGAGTAATGCAAAAAAACTGTGCAGCATTGTTTTTGATGAAGTTCAGTTATCTGCACATTTGAATTTTATTGCAAGCAATGATGAAATTGAGGGGTTTGTAAAAGCAGATGGGCCCCCAAAATTTGCTGACCATGCTTTGGTAGTGATGCTCAGAGGTATTTGTGCATCATGGCGACAACCAGTCGCTTACTATTTTTGCCAAGGAACTACACCAGCAGCTACTTTGAAACATATTTTAAAGGATATGGTTAAGATAGTAATCGAATCTGGATTAAAGCCTTTAGCCTTCATTTGTGACCAGGGAGCTACATCACAGCGTGCTCTTAAAGATCTTCAAGAAGAGACTAAGAGACACTGTTTTCAAAATAATATAAAATTTGGTAAGCTTAAAAAATAATATTAAATACATATAATATTTTTTTTTATAGGATAGGGTGACAAACGAGCACACAGTCCACCTGAAGGTAAGTGGCTACTGTGGCCCATAGACATCTACATTTATCCTTATTTGTGAATCAAAATGCAGATGCGTTGTCACCTGTGAGGACTAAGATGGAATGCCTCTTTTCCAGTAAAAAGGGTCTCCGGTTCTCTACACTCACCATACGAAACACAGCAGTGTTAAGCTGCTATTTTACGCTGGTATTTAGTGAGAGCGCAGTCCTTCCCCGGTCGAGCCAACCCATTCGTGCTACAACTATACTACTAATATAACTGCAGCATGGCTCTACCACATATAATAATATACCTAGTATTATGTCGATTCCTACTTTAAAATGGGTTAAATTAAACTTTTGAGCACTGAAGGTTTTGGTTTTGAGACCAAAGGTTCTGAAAACATTTTAATGAGTGGAAGCTAAAATGCACAACTCCTATAAAGTCTTCGAGTTGAGCACTTCACCTATTTTTCTCTCTCTAAAATTATAAACCTTGTAAAAATAATATCCCATCATTGTAATGAAATATTTTTTTATAGATGGTAGTATCCTAATTGGGGGAAGTAACTTAAGTGTGATCTATGATCCTCCACACTTAATAAAAGGCCTACGCAACAACATGTTGAATAAGAATTTAATTTTTGAGGGAAAATTAACAAAATGGGAAGACATTGTAGATGTTTATAACTATGACTGTAAATTAGGAAATATAAGAATGCTCCCAAAATTGTCAGATGAGCATGTTATACCAGAAAAAAATAAAGAAGATGAAAGTTAAGAACTGCACTCAAGTCTTCAGTGAACGCGTAGCTGCCACAATGCAGTATACAGCAACTTTTTGTAAGTTAACTACTGCCTATTTTTTCAATAAGGATAACTATTCATATTTTAACTATGGTAGTCTATTAAAGTGTTTTTGACGAGTTCATCACACACAGTCCACCTGATGGTAAGTGGTTTCTGTGGCCCATAGACATCTACATTTATCCTCGATTACAAATCAAAATGCAGATGCGTTGTCACCCGTGAGGACTAAGATGGAATGGCTTGTTTCCAGTAAGAAGGGTCTCCGGTTCTCTACTCTCACCATACGAAACACAGCAGCATTAAGCTGCTATTTTACGCTGGTATTCTGTGTCCTTCCCCAGTCGAGCCGACCCATTTGTGTTACAACTATACCAGAAATATAGCTGCAGCATGGCTCTACCACGTATAAAAGGTAAAAAGGTGGTTTTCTAGTTTTCTATATGCTAGAGTTGCATCAAGAATTTCATCCTTTAAACAAATCAAATACTTTATTTGCTATTGGTGTAAAGGTTTTAGGATAGTTATATTATGTACTTACAACTAAATGGACTTTATCAGGCATTCTAAACTTAAGAGAATTGTATTAGACAAGATATAAGTAGAAAACAAATTCTTTGTACAACTATTTAAATATAATATAGTTAAATAAAAAAAAAATTAAAATGTCACAGAGTAAAGTTCTACTTAACTTAATAAAATAATGTCAATGGGATTCTCAAATATTACTAGATTAAAATATATTAATAAATATAACTAAATTTAAATTAATATTTTCTATCATTTCATAAAACAAATGTCATAATGTAAAATTTTAATTTAATACAATCATAATGTCAACAAACTTAATATTCACCCACAGAATAGAAACATTTTTGAAGGAGAAAGGTTTCAGTTTTTTATTAAATAGTTTTGCTTTTCTGTGTGTTTATTTGTACCAAGAAATTACATATTATGGATCTTAAAGTTGTCTTTTGATGAAATGTACTGTGCTACGATAAATTAATAAATGATCTTAATTGATGTCCATTTGCTGGATGATTATTTAATCTATGAATATGTTTTTAATTATTGACAAACAAGTGCACAGCTCATCTGATAGTAAGTGGATAGATAAGTTGTAATTCATAAAGATAATAAGTGTCCAGCAGGCCTTATTATATTAGTAGGTATTTACAAATTATTTTATTATTTTTATGCTTGATGCTGATATATTTTTTGTAGACAATCCTTGAAATTGTGAGTTTCTTATACTTTGGTCAATGTATAACATTATGGGCTACCATGTAAAAAGCGATTAATGGAATATTGGGTTTGTGATTGTGTACGCGTAAAGCTAACTTTATGTCCTTTTTTAATTTCCTATGTCACATCCACAACTAAGACAAATATCTGATGATACCCAAATGTTAAAATCCATCAAGCTGTTTGGGCTACAGTATGATCCCATCAATGCCCATCATATTGTTTATCATATAACTTTTGATAGTTTAGTTTTTACTTCTTCTCTGTGAGATTTGCAGTCTATGAATGTGTGTTTGTGGCAATTTAAATAACTCAACTGTCTCTAAAGATGAACTTTGGGGTTTAATGTTCATTTGGAGTTGGAAAGATTTAAATAAAATGTAAATTGATTTTTCTTGTTTAGTTATTATTAATTTCATAAAAAATTATTTTGTAATAAACATGAGTAAAGATTGCCTGTTACATGTAAGTAAAAATACATCATGTAAAAGTAATTCTAATTTCATGTTTTTTGTTCCAGCTCAGCGACATGACGGAACACAAATCAGTGAAACAACAAAAAATACAGCTGCAGCAGTTGCTTTCTTTGACCAATTGTTCGACAGTTGCAATGGTTCGAGGTCTGGTAGGGCTCCAGGAAAAATACGAGGTCCAGTCAAACTGAATAGTGCCCACAAAGCATTTTGGATTGAAGCCATTAAGAAGTTTAAAAAAAATGCATTTCATTCCAAAAAATTCTTTAGAAAAAGCTACAATAAAAAATGTACCAACATTAAACAATTGGGTTACAACACTAGAAAGCCTAATAAGAGTAAGTGAAATAATGCAATCGGAGGGGGGTCAGTTTCTTTTACACGAGAAACCTAAATCAAGACCCCCTTGAAAATTTCTTTGGCAAAATAAGAGCATATAATTATAGATATACCAACCCCCGATACATTTTCGTTCCGAAACTCTTTTAAGTCATTATTAATGACGGACATGCTGGCCATCCACACAAAAAATTTTAATTGTGAAGATGATATGGGGGAGACCATATTAAACATAACAACTTTATTGAATGAGGAATTTGCTTCAGATGAACAACCAGTTCCCGATAGTAATGATAATAGAAACCTTAGTTGTTCATCTGAAGTAAATTTATCAGGAAATATGGTCTCCTCCATATTTGAAGAAAAAATAAATGTAAATGCGAGGAGTTACACTTCAGGATATATTATAAGAAAACTGTGTCAAAATAAATGTAAAAATTGCAAAAAAACATTTTTAAATAATGAGGATCAGCAGCTTAGTGTCCATGATTTAATTAGACACAGAGAACGAAAGCACCTTAAAGGGAAAAATCTTATGTACCCTAGTACAAGATTTATTGTAGCATTTTCAAAATTAGTTGATTTAAGTAATGTGGTATTAAATAATACTTGCCACAAAGGAAATATTATTAAAAATATATCCGAAAAATTTATTACTCAAAATAATTTGGAATGGATAGGCTGCCAAGAGCACCATGACAAAATCAAAAAAAAAATTTTACTTCTTGGGGCTAAAATCCAAGTATTTCACTGGTGCCGAACAATAAACAGAATATTGAATGGATCGCATTGTGTAATTAATTTTAACGATGCACCATATATTCAAAAAATAGCACATATAAAATGGTTAAAACAAAGAAAATATAAAAAATGAAACTTGCAAATATGTTTTTTTTTAAATTCCTTTCCCTTATTAATATAACTAATAAAGAATAATGAAAATAAAAGAAATCGATAAACTCAATTCACATCCCTATCGCTGCAAAATCTATCGATATCATGGATAATCTATACACCCCAACACTAACAAGGTAGCCATCTAGCGGGAAAAAAGCTTGCCCTCCAAACTCGCTACTGCGACGTACTTTCCTATCTGTCTTGTACATACAACTTTATAATTTGTGATCTGCATCAATTTAAAATGACTTTCAGTTAGCAGTAATCAGTGTCAAATTAAATACAAAGCATAGATAAATAAATGTGTAGCAAGCTAAGTACATATCACAGAGTACCTTTGTATAATCTTCCTATATATAAAAAAGTACTCTATGGTATAAACTGAATACATATCATGCGTAGTATCTGGTATCGTCATATATAGTCAGTAATCTATGGGTATCGTAGACAGAGAACAGAGAAACCTATAGACTAATGATCGGCGTGGCCTGGAGTGAGAAAGGACGATAACGAATTTTTAGGTTATACAATAATCTTTATGACTTTTAAACACATTTAGATAAAAAATTTAATTGTTCTAAGAACTGAACTGAACAAGATTCACCAATCTTAGGCTCACAAAACACTTTTTTCTCACTTAAACCAACTTGTAAACTCCTTAAATCGCTACGCTTTCAAAGTTGTTTAGCAAACTGTAGAGTTTGCTAAACAAAAAAACCGGCACGGTGAAAGGGACAAACAATCACACCGTTCTATCTCATCTGTGGTACGTAGACAGAGAATCCTAGCATTCTCTGTCTACGCTGTGGTACATATCAAAATGCATAGAGGATGACAAAATGTCATAGAAAATATCAAAACAAAAACCAAAAAACCGCAAAAAACCATAAATCATAAATAAATAACTTTTTGGAGTTTATGGCCTGGTATCTTGACCTTTAGGCCAGATAAATAAATAATGATTTCTTAAATTTACGCGAACACTACAAATTGAATAAAACTATTATTTACGGATTTTATCGCGTTTAATTCAACTTCAATTTATTTTTATTATGCCGACGATTCGGGTGCTTTACAGCACCCGTGGTCACGGGGGGGGGGACCGAGATGTTTGACGTCCCAATATCATAGGTAGTCCAGCTACCTTCAGTTTTTGAATATTAATTTTTGGTCCGATTTACGCAAAATGAACTTATAGTATC